CCCTGTATGATTTAAGGAACCCTGCATAAGATCTGTTGGACCTCCGGAAATCTTTGCTACACGTTGTTTCCTTGTGATCAGAAATGCTTTAGGGCGTCCTCAAGGTAGTTTTGAGCAGGTACTTCTACAGGAACACAAAACCCTGGGGCCTATGGGTAGTTTCACCTGTGCCGCACCTACATAGCTGGAACACCGTGGGTCGACTGACGGTTGAGATAATGAGGGCCTTTAGATTCAGAAAGGGTATGTTGCAATGCTCACAGGAACGCAGCACCTCCCCCTCCCCTTAAGGTTTGGGTTCAGGGCCTGGGGGAGGAGGAGTTTGGGATTTTTAAGGGTGGAGTTGAGGGATTATGGGTTTAGAGTGTCGGGCCTTGCGGTTTATTAAACCCCAAGCCCCTGCACTCTAAACCCCTAAACCCTTAAACTTTAAGGGTTCAGGGGCTCTTTCCAAACAACCCCAAGTGGACTAGTTGCAGGCAAAGCAGCTGCAGCCGCAGCCGCAGCCTGCAAATTGCGCCGATTTCGCTCCTGTGGAAGTCTTCAGGAACGCACTAAACCCCACACTGTTACACGTTGCATCAAGGCTCCTAAATCCAATAAATACCATGTCCAAAAACGAGAAACCGCGAATTTGTGCCTTTCTTTTTTGATTCTGCAGGCAAAAAATTTACAACTTCTGTGCCGAAACAACAGAACCTTGGAGGGGCTTACTACCCTGTTCAGCCCCTAAACCCTAAAATCCTACACCCTAAACCCTAAACTTCCTAAACCCTAAAACCCTATGCTCCTAAACCCACCCTTAAACCCTGGTTCAGCTGTCCGCTGGCCTCTTCGCGCTTCATCTCCTCCAACTCCTCGGCTTTCTTCTTCAAAGCCTGCTCTTGCCTCGGCAAGAGGTTTGGGTTTAGGGTTTAGGGTGCTCTTGCTTCGGCTGGGTTACATCTCAGGAGCCTTAATAATTAGAATAGGATTGTGGGGCTCCTTTAAAGGGTTCCTTAAAAGGTTCTATAAAGGCTACCATAAGGGTTTAGGGTTTACGGGCAGTAATAATTAGAATAGGGTTTCGGGGGTTTCGTATAATTGTTAAAGTATTATATACCCCGAACCTCATTCTAATTATCAAGGCCACTATATTACATCACTTTCCCTTGGGGCTGAAAGTGCAAGGTTTTGAAGTTATGGTTCGTTTCGGGTTTATGGTTTGCTTACTGTAGGGCTCAGCGTTTAGTCTTTGTTTGCCACAAGGTTGGAAATCCTTTGAAACCTTCCTATAATTTCAGCAGCTCAGGCTTAGATGCCTCTTTCGGACATTATGTCTCCAGCATCATACCCGTTTGCATGTGGTTTCCCTGCCAACATGACTCGCGAAAAGAACAGTTCTAGGTGTGGTGCGTTTGCCATATGAACGCTGAACCAGCTACAAGTTGTTCGAAACTGAAATTCATCCCATCAGGTCAGTATGCTAAAATACAGATGGGGGGGGGGTACATCTTGCACCGAGCACTATATACGTGCAATTGAATGTGCAAGTAAAATATTGTCCACACCCACATAAACAGTCGTAGCACTAAGCAAGCAACAGAACCCAGTGAATCACCAACATCCCGGAAGGCCTTTACAGCCTGGGTAAGCAGCAGAATCGGCAGAGACACCAGAACCCCAACTGAACCAACAGAACCGCCACCAACGTTACCAATGCCACCCACGGCAACATCCGAAACCCTAAACCCTAGACCCTAAAACCCTAAACCCTAAACCCTAAACCATCACCATCACTCGCCATCAAACTTGTCATAACCGTCGCCACCACCAGCATCATTGTCATCCTTCTGAAGCCATCGTCATCATCAGCAGCAGCATCAGTATCATCGGCATCATCACCTTCTCCATCATCATCACCATCATCATCATAATCATCACCATCGTAGTCATCATCCTCATCAAAATACCATTAGGATCAGCATCACAATCAATATCATCATGTTATTAGTATTCAGTTTCATTTCACATTTATCTTCATCTTATCATCATTCTGATCGCTATCACCATCACCACCATCATCATCATCACCATCACCATCTTCATTATCATCATCCTCATCGACATCATCATCATCATCAACAACAGCAGCAGCTACGCAGAAATCCAGCACCAATCTACAACGAATCTTTGCTCGTTGTCCAAGCCACTGCTTCAGCTTCTCGTCTTTCTCTTTGTCTGCTTTGGCCCTGGCCTGCTTCTCTGCATCCTTAGACATGCGTGAGCCTCTCTTCAAACACAGGCATCGCAGTTCCCCGCAAGTTATCCTAAAGCCTCTGTTGCCTCAAATTGCAGTTTGCAAGGTGTGATAATTCCTTACCCCCCACCCCCCCACCCCCCCCCCCGTCTGCAAGTGCAAGAACAAGGTGCACACTCCGGGGTCTCATACATTAATGCACTGGCTATGTCGAAATTGCTCCCTCAAGCAACCCCAGTAGGGCTAGGGTAGAGGGATTTAGGGGTCTTAGGTTTATAGGGTTTAGGGTAGAGGGATTTAGGGTTTGGGGGGTATGGGGTTAAGGTTAGGAATTGGGGTATAGGCTGTTGGGTACACGAAGGTCTTTGTTGGTCGGTCACGAGCCACGGCTGCTTCGGCTTGGAAATCTCGAAAGCGGTGCAAAACCATCGAAGCTAACACATCAAGCTGTTGTCTTTTGGATATGGGAGCTACGATTAGGGGACCCTTCAATATAGAACCTCTCAATAAGGTCCCTTTTAAGAGAGCCAAAAGTAGGGTTCAGAAGGGGCACCCTTTAAGGGGTACCCCTAATAATACTACCTAGAATACTTCCTATTCTCTGATGCTGCGGCGACTTCGGCTCAGTCTATCTTGGGAACCTTACTTGTTCAACGAAAGCCCCCTCAGAAACCAGCAAGCCCCAAAGAGACACGCAGAAGCGTTGGTTTGCAGGCTTTACGACACGTAGGCATATAGGAACCGTACAGCCCAAACTAACTACAGGTTTGTTGTGGGCTTGTTTAAAACTCTAGGGTTTAAACAACCCTAAACCCTAAACCCTAAACCCTAAACCCTAAACACCTAGACACCTAGACACCTAAACCCTAAACCCCTAAACCCCTAAACCCAAGCCGCCTAAACCCTAAACCCAAACCGCCTAAACCCTAAACCCAAAGCTTTCGGGAGACAAAGGGCCATCTGCTCCATCTGCTTCTTCAGGGCCTCCTTTTCCTGCTCACTCCTCAGGTGAGGGCTTCCGAAAATAGGGGACCCTAATATAGTACCCTAAATAGTAGGATCCCTATTATAAGGACCCCAAAAGTCAGGTACCCTAATTTCCTGCTCACTCCTCAGATGAGTGAGCTTCGCACGACTCGGAGGTCTGAAGCCTCAAGGTTTGCACTGGTTTTGGGTTTAGGTAGGGTTTAGCCCTTAGGGTTTCTTAGGGTTTAGG